AAAAAAAAAAAAAAATATATATATATATATATAAATAAATTATACCAAATATATTTTACACGTTAAACACACAATCTATGTTAAGTCTGGTTGCTAAAAATGTTCTAATTTTTAATAATTAATCACTGTTGTCTTTGTCGACTTTTCATGATAAACTAAACATTTGTTAGAGGCATGCACACAGCCTGTACAACATCATGCTTTTGTAAGTTGTGTGAAGTGAGTTCAGCAGTCAGGAGCACCTACTTCCTGTTTTCACTACAATCCTCCACATCACTGATCCTGGATCTTCCATCGTTAGTTGATAACTATGTGGATGGTGCATTTTTGGCACAATGAACGGCATGTCTGTCCAGAAACAAGCTGTAACTAAACTCTTCTGCCCACAAACTGATGTAAGAGCTTGCCCATTGTATAGTACAGTTATGGTACAGTCAGGTTCAACTATGATAGTGTCATGGTACAGTCTGAGAATAACTCTGACTATAACTACGTGTGAGCTGCACATAGATTTAATTAGAAACAACATTTCTATAATGAGCATCTGTTGTCTCACCCACAGGTTTGAAAATCCTTTAATAACACTCATGGTGTGGGAAAGGCTGTGTTTCCACAGTTTTGCTCCATCAGCAGTGCTGCTGGCTGCACCTTCTCTGCTGCAGTTTTCACTTAGGTCAGGTTTCTTCATCTCCTTTTTCTTTTCAAGAAATAATGACCGTGTTGTGAAACCTTGGATTAATACCAGTTTAATGGCATTCAAAAGAAATGCCGAAGCCAACGTTTTCCTTTGGCCTTTGTTGTTCGCCCTGTGACGACTTTGCAGACAGTTTAACTGTCTACCTATTTTAGGACTAGTTGGCAGAACCCATTTTAAATGTCTTCATTATGCAAAGGAATAAAGTCAGGGAGCAGTTAGCTGCTCGCACGTCTGCTGCTGTGGGGAAATTGCTAAGGCTGCTAATGTTGAGGATGAGACTGCATTTTGGTGTTTTACAAAAGGTGTCTGTGTGTGTGTTTTGTTTTTTCTTGAAGCAAAAGGGAATGAAAGAATGACACCCTCAGAGAACTTAAGGCCCAGACTGTGAGCACGGTGCAGATGAAAGCAGCCTTCAGTGCTCAATGATCCGTCCACCTGTCCACCTCTGGTTCTCAAGCCTCAAGCTAAATCCAACCTCAAAGACAAGGACAATTTTACAACACACTCCTTTCCAGGAAACACAGCCCCTCCCCCCCCCCCACCACACACACACAAACTGAGCAAAATACAAACTGTATATGTATCTACAACTCAGTACTTCTCACTTTCATGTCTCTACTTTTATCGCATCTTCTCTCCACTTCAGTTGTTCAGTCAACAATGAGCTGCTGCTGACACTGTCACTCCGATGTTCAAAAGCATATCAGAGTTGTTTTTTGTTTGCTTTTTTTTTATGCTGGTTGCTTCCACTTTGTTGCTCGTGTCGAGGCATCTTCTCAGATTGAGCAGTGATCAAAGAGACACGCTTCAAAAATAAACATCAACGCAACAACAACAAGACGGAGGGGTCACACAGAGGCGGCACATTTCTGGCCTCTAGTGGTGTGTGTGTTTGTGTTACTTTGTTTCATAAATCTGCCTGAGGGATGAGAGACGTGACGGATCCTGATGTCTGTGCTGCGACCTGCTGTGTCTGCGTGTGTGTCTGTGTGTGTGTGTGTGTGTGTGAGAGAGAGAGAGAGAGAGCTTTAATGTGTCACTGACTTGAACCTGAGGGCTCACCTTGTTCCCCTACAGGGAGTCTGTGTTCTCTCCGAGCAAACATTTCTCAACACTTTCCGTGACACACGGCTGTGACGGTGCCCTGAGCTCCAGTGGAGTTGATGGGACGATTGCCCAGCAACCTATAAAGATTTTGTTTTTTATTTTAATTCTCCCCCTCGAACGACGAGAGATTAATGTGTTGTAAAACAAGTAACAGTATGTTGGTGTGTCTATCTATAAAAATATATCTTATGTAAGTTTTTGGTATTTTTAAGTTTACCTGGATTTTTAATGTCATGTTCATAATTAATTTTGACTAACTAGCTAGTTTGATGCTGATTTTCAGCCCATGATTAACATGCGTTTTCTCATTTATCGCAATGATAATAACTAAATAAACATCAAGAAGTTTAAATGCTTATATTTTTCTAAACTATGGACTTCCAACTTACACAGAATGCTTGGTTTTAAACTATTTTAATGGTTTATAAAATTCAACACCCGGTAGGTCTGTGTTGAAACATTGTTTGTTCATACAGTTCATTTTCTGTTGCCTAGAAACACTAGGACTTTAGAGATTTTAAAGGCAGGTAAACTTAGTCATCCAAAGTTGAGAAAATTAAAAAAAGAAACACATTTCAACACTTTTAATTAAAAAATAATGTATGAAGGGAATTAAATGTATGAAGGGAATTAAACTTAGGTATTTAGATGACTGAGTTTCATCTGAACTCTCAGTGTAAGGCCTACCTCTGCGACTGATTTAGTGTGTTGACCAAAGCAGGGCAGATCTTGGATGTCCTCCAGACGTCGCACCATGTAGGGCAGACTCTTCAGGACTGATGCAGCCTTTCTAAAGGCCAGGCATGAACCCTCAATCATGTTGAATTCATAATTCTCCGCTAAGACTTCCATGGCATCCTGAAAGGAGAAGCAGAAAAAAAATAATAAACACGCATCTACGTAGTAGGTCATCTACTTTTAGGGGGTTATGGTGGGTATATTTACTTAAACAAAGTAGACAGAAAAACTAAGGTCAATGCATTGAACTCAGAGACTTCTCCTGGTCCCTCTGTAGTCACACAGCTCCACCACCATCCTCAGAACAAAACGACCTGCTATGTGTTGTTAACTTCTGGATGAATGGACACAGACATTCAAGTCTGGTAAAGACCACATGGGAACCTGTCATTTTCCACTTCAAAATGAGGCTCCCCAGGTAAAAAGTTGGGGAAAGTTGTCCTGAGAAAAGTCCTGAGAAATGGCCTTTTTCATGAGAAACGTTACGAGACGTAAATATTCCTCTGGTTTAAAACAAAAAACAACAAAAACTTTATATTCTTTCAACAGCTGGCTTCAGCTTTGTGTGTCATTAGTACAGTAAACCCTTGTTTTTCGCGGGGGTTACGTTCCAAAAAGAACCCGTGATAGGCAAAATCCGTGAAGTAGAAATCTTTATTTTTTTTACAATTAAATACCCAGAAAAAGAAGAGAAAGAACGAACAAACCATTTTACAGTCTCAACCATTTGTTTCACAAA